GCCGTCGCTAATACTTTACTTTTTGCGACGGCAAGTGTACCGTCGCAAATAGTTCCGTCTTTTAAGCCCCATTTTCTTGTAGTGTACACTAATTAATATACTAATTGATACATATAGTATTATTTTTTCAAATATCAGTAATGTATTACTAGATATTTATTCATAAAAGTTCGTTCACCAAAACTAAAAACTAAAAACTAAAAACAAAAGACATATTTTTATTTACAAATAGAAAAGCGTGTATGTACCCTCATTTTTGCAACATTGATGAACTTGGTCGAACATTTGTATGTCGCCAATGCACTACTATCTATTCATTTATGCAGTTAGTTCCAAAAAAAAAAAAAAAAAAAATTTAAAAATAGATGAGTGTGTACGTATTATTTTTGTAACATTAATGAATTCGGTCAAACATTTAGATGTTTCCAATGTTAAAAATACGTCTTGTTACTAACAATTTGCTAGTACTTTCACAAATTTATGAGCGTACCACCACTTTACAAAAATAAAAATATTAGAAATCTCAAAAGTTCAATCAAAATTCTTATCAAATATCTCATGTAGGTGTGGGATTCATTACCAAAATTTTTACCAATTGTCTCACATGATGGGTCCCATATCATGTGAGACATTTGGTAAAAATTTTGATAGAACTTTTGCGACCTCTACTATTACTCTAACAAAAAACTCAAAAAATTATGAGTATATTAATAATTTTGTTAATAAAAGTATATGTCCTACTAGTTATATGTAATATATTATAGGAAGATTTACGTATAGACAAGGTTGTTAAGATTGCGATTCGGATCGTAGGATCCTACGATCCATTTTTGGAGAATCGATCTGGATCGCATGATGAATCGTATTTTGTTCCGGATCGTAGCAGGATCAGTAGGATCGGACGTGGGATCGTAGGATCGTATTTGGATCGCGATCCTATACGATCCTACTTTGGCCTTTTTTCTGATATTTTTATTACAGGTTTGATGCACCTTCTCTCTTTTCTAAAGACCCACGAAATAAGATTAGGGCAAAATATTGGGGGAAAGTTGGTCACGAGAGCTGAGCAGCCTCCATCCAGATTCCAGGTATGCTTTTTCTTCTTCGTCTTCTTCGTCTTCTTCTTCTTCTTCTTCTTCTTCTTTTTCTTCTTCTTCTCTGTTCGACTCATTCTTCTCTGTGCTTCGACTCATTCTCTTCTCCTCTGTTCGACTCCTTCTTCTCCTCTGTTCGTCTTCTTCGACTCCTTTTCTTTTTCTCCTCCATCTTCTTTTTCCTCTGCTATTGCTTTTTCCCCCCCTCTTCTTTTATTTTTCTGTCTTTCATTCCCCTTTTGTTTTTCCCCCTTTTCCTCTTCTTCTTCTATTTTTCCCCTTCTTCCATTTCGCCATTTTCCTGTTAACCTAATTTTGAACTTGTAATTTATTTTTGCAGATACCTACCACCAAGGAAAAGTGCAGCTTCATACAGGTTTGTTCTCAATTAATTTGTAAATTGTAACATGACTTTAGATTACCTAGTGTTCATGTTGGTAACAATTGATTCAATGTTTGCTCTGTCTTTTTATTAACATAAGCTAAAGTTGCTTATGATTATGTAGTCTTTATTTGTAATTTGTAAATTAACTTCTAAATTCTAATTTATCCTTATCTATAATTTCAATGAGGCCTTTGTAGGGCATCATGGTATTACTATTGTAATCAATTTATTTTTGACTGTAACTTGACTTTTTTCTCTCTGATATTTCATAACTATCAAATTGTAAATTGTAGTCAATTGATTCAGTGATATTCAATATATGACTGTGGCAATGATGATTTCGGCGATGAAGATGATGACTTATTTTAGTCTCTTGTTTATTTATTCTTCTCTTATTTTAGTTTGTTTTGTTAAGGATATCAATGTTGTGCAAGTGTTAACTTGAAGACTTGAAGTTGAATTGCTATTTTCTTTTAGTATGTTCTTTTGTTAAGATTTGAGGAAAATGTTTGAATGACAACTTGAATTGCCACCTTCTTTTATTATGTTTTCTTTGTTTAAAAAAATGTGCAAAATGTATATTTGAATTGATTATTGTTAGTGAACAAGGCACACAACTGAGAATGCGAGGATTTGAACCTCGATCTGCTCATAAGTTTGAGAGCTCTACCATTTGAGTTACATTCTCAAGTTTTTTTGGGTCATTTTATATGTATTTTGATAGTATTAATTAGACATATAAGAATTATTGCATTTTTTCATCGTTTTAGCAGGATCTTACGATCCCCGATCCGATCCTACGATCCGATCCTCCAGACCCCCAAAACGATCCTATGTAGGATCCCGATCTTAACAACCTTGCGTATAGATCTTAATATGTAGACTTCTTATCCAATAGATCATATGATAATTAATGGAATTTTTTATTAAACACTATTAAAAAATATCACTAATTATTAATTTTCAGCAATAGTTTAAAAAATTTATCACAAAAAAGTCACTAATTATAAGTTTTAGCGAAAATTTAAAAAAATTGTCAAAAAGTTACTAATTTTCAGCTTTCAACGACAATTTGAAAAATTTGTTAGATAAAAATGTCATTAATTGTAAGTTTTAGCAACGATTTATAAAAATCATGACAAAAAAGTCACTAATTATCAATTTTTAGTGACATAAAAAATTCTCACAAAAAATTATTTTTAACGACAATTTTAGTAGGGCTAACTTTCAATAAGATTTAATGGGAATTAAGTCTAACTATTAAGATTTATTGATGAGTGCTGTTATTAGCACATGCCTAAATTCTTTGGACCCCCCAATTTCTAATTTTTCTTTTATTACAATTATATGCTGAAATAAAATTACATTAAAAGACAAAATTTAATGGAACATCCATCTACCAAATAAGAACTAACACTATACAATACTGTACACCCACCTCCACCTTTATCTCCAGCTATACGTATTCCACCTTTCTAAACCCCAAATCTGTTACTGTTCATAACCATCTTAAATCCTGAATGTATCCTCTTTATCATCATCATACACCCTCCTAAACTAGAAATCTTGAACCATAAAGCTCTTTTCAAATCCAATGTATTACTCTTCATCAGTTATTTTACCTTATACAACAATGGATAATGATGACAAGAATTTTGATGAGCCTAGCATTCCATTGGTAAGTTTACTTGTCTTGCATTAACATTCTTGGTCGTTTTCAATCGTTGTTGTTTTGTTTGAGCTGTTCGGTACTAGTTTGCCGACTGTTAAGATTATGTTCGGTAACACATTACTGATGTGGGAACTGAATATTAAAGGAGGCATACTTTAATAGACAGGTATTGCTCGGCTCTGTCCAGAACCATCAGGATGCCGAATATAAAGGGCAGATGGGCCGAATAGGTACTGAGCTATGGAGCCGAGTAAATATGAACATAATGAGCGAAAAGTGAACCTGGGCCCGAGGACCAGGGAACGAGTATAAATAAAGGAATAGCAGACTGAGAAAGGTATGTGATAATTGTGGTGTTTAACTTAGAATACAAGTAATCTAGAACGAGAGACTGACTTGTCCATCGGAGTGCTAATTCCGGCACCCCCGACCGGAATGTTTACTTCCTTTCAGGTGCCTATCGGTGGATCACGAGCGTCCCCTAGGATCAGAAGAGTATTTCCTAAAACCACTTGCCCAGAATTGGCGCCGTCTGTGGGAATACTCAAGCACATCCATGGCGGACGCAACGAAGGACCCTCCAATAGTCGCTGATGACACCACACAGATAGATGACTTCACTCCAACAAGCACGCATGGACCGGAGCCTAACCCAGTAAGACGCGCTTTGAACTTCGGTTCACCTTCGACTCCAGAACATGAGGCAATGCAGGCGATCGTGGAGCAGGCAAAGCAAAATGAGCAGCGGTTGGAGAACATGATCACTAAGAACGAGCGTCTCCGTCAGGATTTGGCACTAGAGGTGGCAAAGTCCAAACAGGCCGTGCGCCAAGACCCGGAGCGACCTCTGAAAGCAGGTGGTCGACGACCTCGAGCCCGGCAACAAGACACTGATTGCGCCTCCGACTCACTATCTCTGGAGCCCAAAAAGAAAGGACGACCTACAACTTCCAGCTCCTCTGAAGAGAGCCCACGCGTAAAGCATAAGCGCAGAAGAAACGGCTCAGATGACGAGGACTAGAATGATCTTTTTGTGCGACGAATCGCAAGGGTAATCTTGCCCAAAAAGTTTAAAGCTCGTCTTTTACTCTCTATGATGGCAAATCAGACCCCACCGATCATATCCACCACTACAAGCAAGCCATGACATTACATGCAGATGACGAAACCCTCATGTGCCGAATATTCCCCAGCAGTTTGGGACCACTCGCTCTCAGGTGGTATTACAAACTGGAGTCGGCTTCGATCGAAACCTTCCACCAATTACAGAAGTCTTTCAGGGCCAGATTCATCACAAATGAGGTCCAGTCGAAACAAGCCGACTCTCTCTGGGCAATGCAAATCCTGCCAGGAGAGACGCTAAGAGCATATTCGGCACGATATTGGGAATGCTTTAATCTTGTAGATGATGCTTGCAATGACTCCATGGCCATCACCGCCTTCAAAATGGGACTACACCCAGATAGTGCCCTCCGCAGTTCCTTGACCAGAAGACCCCCCAAAACAGTCTGGGGGTTGATGAAGAAAGTAGAAAAATACTGCAAAGTAGAAGATGACGCTTTGCGGGTTAAAGCCGGACACAGTACCACCAAAACGGCCCCCCCTGAGATTGCCCAGCCAATAAGTTTCGTACCTCTTGAGAGCCCTGAATCACGCTAGCGGACTAAACGAGATAAGAAACAAGATTTTCGCCGACCAAGCGATCAGTGCCCACACCGAACAAATGAGCAATTGCAAGTTGACAACAGGCGCACAAAGCGCGCCGACAAGAAATACGGAGCTGTCAGATTCAATCAGCTCGGTTATGTCCCAAATCCAACATCTTCTGTTTTTTAAATGGCCATCCAAAATGGTGGGACCTCCTGACACGAGAAGACGGTACAGACAGTGTGAATATCACAAAGATCACGGCCATGATACGGACAGCTGCTATGCTCTGAAAGACCACCTTGAGGAATTGGTGCAAGATGGTCGACTTCAGCAACACGTACAAAAGAACCCAATCAAAACTGTTGCCCTTAGGCAGGATTTGCCTCCGCTTGGCATCATTCATATGATCTATGACCTTCCAACGCCACTTGTCGTACACGTAATTCAAGCCCCCCAGAAGCAACTCACACCATCGAGGCAGCTCTATGAAGCTCCGAGTATTATCTTCAACGATTCCGATCTTATCGGCGTAACACTCCCTCATAGTGATCCATTGGTCATTGAGCTACACGTAAATCGATTCGTCGTTGAATGTGTCTTCATAGACCAAGGAAGCACTTTAGAGGTTATGTATTACGAAACCTTCGTCAGACTCGGTCTTAATCAATCAGACCTGTCTCTGGCTCCCCATCCATTGTTTGGCTTCAACGCGAATCCAGAGTATCTGTTGGGGAGGATCACACTACCCGTTCGAGCCGACTCTCGAACGATGGATGTAGAATTCTTGGTCATCAACCTCCCATCGCCGTATAATATCATCATGGGGCGAACTTGGTTGCATGCTATCCAAGCCGTGCCTAGCACCTACCATCAGCTGCTGCGCTTTCTTACCCAACATGGTATTGAGCAAATCCGTGGTTCCCTGCACTCCGCACCAGCATTCTGTCCCCCTCCCGAAATACCGAATCGGAACATCCTCGACTAACACGGTCATCATTGGAAGGATTCCATATTGGCTCAGAAACACTTTATGGTCCTGAAACTCGGGAATTGTCATTAAACCCGGCTTGTGGGGAATGATCTCAGTTCTAAAATGATTTTCCATGTACATATTCCTCCTTTGTAAATGCAAGGATTCTTGTTGAGCAGATATAATCCCATTCTCTGCCAAATCTAATTAAAAAGGGCATTCTGACCAAAAAGCCCCCTCGGCGCATGACACCGTTGGGCCGATAAAGCCTCCGGATTCGGAGCCCCCTCGGCGCATGACGCCGTTGGGCCGATAAAGCCTCCGAATTTGGATCCTCCTCGGCGCATGACGCCGTTGGGCCGATAAAGCCTCCGGATTCGGAGCCCCCTTCGTGGATATCACGATTGGCTAAGTAAAGCCTCCGGATTCGGAGCGCCCTTCGTGGATATCATGATTGGCCAAGTAAAGCCTCCGGATTCGGAGCCCCCTCGGCGCATGACGCCGTTGAGCCGATAAAGCCTCCGGATTCGGAGGGCCCTTCGTGGATATCACGATTGGCCAAGTAAAGCCTCCGGATTCGGAGCCCCCTCGGCGCATGACGCCGTTGGGCTGATAAAGCCTCCGGATTCGGAACGCCCTTCGTGGATATCACGATTGGCCAAGTAAAACCTCCGGATTCGGAGCCCCCTGGCGCATGACGAAGTTGGGCCGATAAAGCCTCCGGATTCGGAGCCCCCTCGGCGCGTCTCGCTGTTGGGCCAATAAAGTCTCCTGATTTGGAGTGCCCTCGGCGCATAATGCCGTTGGGCCAATAAAGTCTCCCGATTCGGAGCGCCCTTGGTGCATAACGCCGTTGGGTCAATAAAGCTTCCAAAAGCCGAATAACATTCCGAATTCGGAGTGCGCTTAGTGCACATCCGAGCAGGGAAATGTAACTCAAGCTGGCACAACGGCATAAACAAAACAAAACGTGCCAACACTCGAAATAAGATGCTTAACAAAAATTCACAATGAAATACAAACTTTAAAAATAAAACATTTTATTCGATTAAACAATAATTACAAAAACGCAATTCGCGTTCGAGCATTACAAAGTCTACTTTCATACGGTGTCACCTTTATTCTCACCCTTCTCAAATTTCGAAGACGAAAGAGGGGAAGTGGTCGCGAAGGTACAACGGTAGCGCCGGATCGACGCTCGTTGCCCAGAGAGCGTCCGTAGCTCAAAATTCTTCGATCTGACCGCGCTTGAACCCACAATGTTTACACCAGCGCGACAATCATCCTCAAGGTCGAGAGCCTCGACACCATAGACAATGTCAAGGCCAAGATCCAAGACAAGAAAGGAATTCCCCACAAAAACACAAAAATTCAACGGTTGTAGCGCTACGTCGGCCTCTTCCTTTCTTCGGGGTGATCTGCTTCGACGACTTGGAGGTCGACGTTCTTCCCGTTCTTTGAACGCCCCACCCCTCGCACGAGTGGGTTCCTTGTTGCGATTCATTGTAGTGTCAAGCTCAGCCAAGGTTCGAGCCCCTCTTCTGCTGTTGAAGAAAATTCCATTTGACATTCATATTTGTCTGCCCCATGCAATAAAGTTGTTTTAAAGCAAGTTTGAACACAGTAAGTGAAATTACTAGGGCGAAAAGTCCGAGGCAATCTATTTTTAATCCTTGCGGTGACCCCGAAGCAACATCATTAATATTGAACCCCAAAAGACGGATGCCGATAGATGTTGGCCATAGCCATTCCATGTACTAATTTTTGGCTTTTTTGAGTTAAAATGGACTAATTATGGCAATTAAAGATGGAATGACAGTTTTCGGATTCGCAGCCCCTGGAGCATGACACGTTTGGGCCAATTAAGCCTCCAAATTCGGAGCCTCATCGACGCATCATGCCGACCGATACAAGTCTCCGAATACGGAGCCTAATCGGTGGAGTGATCTTGACAAGCCGGCACGTAACCGTTCGGAATTAAATGACTACTTGAGCCAGACAATGTTTATACAATGAAAACATATGCAAACACGTGTGTGCCGAATGTAGATTACAATGAAACATTTAAAATAGGACGTTTTATTCAATCATGCAACAATTACACAATTACATAGTATTTTTATACGGCGTCGTCCTCATTCTCACTCTTCTCGACTTCAAAAGCAGAAAATAGAAAATGATTACATTGGTAGAGTGGCAGCGCCGAATCAATTCCCGACGTCCGGAGAGCTTCCGTGGCTTGAGATGCCCTGACCCAACTGTGCTTAAAGCCACGATTCTCATATCGGCAAACTTCTTCGGCGAGCTTCTCTTTGGTCTTCTGAATTCCGACCAGTCGGCCGTCATGAAAGCCGTTTTCATAGGCCACGTTTCTCGCAGTCTCGATCGCAAACATGCTTGCCATACTACGATCGGCGATCGCATCACTAATCAGCCTTTGAGTAACCCTCTCTGCGACAACCGGGTCGGGGGGGACGACTGATTGGGGCGACGCAGGCTTGTTTTTCCTCAGCTCGCGCTCGGCCTTTTCGGCGAGAGCTTCTAATTTCCGAATGCGTTCGTCTCTCTGTTCTATGTCTCGACGAGCGGCGTGGAGATGTATACCGATCTCATAAGCCGTGTAAAGTCCTCTCACCGCCCCGTGAACGCCTTCACGAAACACTTCGAAGTCCAAACGGCCTACCATCGACTGCTCAACTTCGGGCGGAAAAATCAGTCGAGCAAACTCGACTGCCACATTTGGGTCTCGAATGATGGAATCCGCCTCCGTCATCGGTCTGTTACCCACGAAGACTGCAAAACTCAATGGGCGAGGAGTTGCGTCAGATTCCCTTCCAGGATGAGATTGAAGAGACTTATGCTGTGGCTGACTATCCCTCCTAGGCGATTTACTTTGACGTCGAGGAGATTGGTGTCTCTCCCGACCCCTCGACGTCCTACCACCCGTGCGTGACGGTTCACCGCTTCGATTTATAGCACCTCCCAGCTCAACTAGCGTCTTCTCTTGACCTCTGCTGTTGAAGAAAAGCTTATTTGACATTCGCACTTGTTTCGCCTTCCTCAAAGAGCGGGACTGAGATGCTCATTTAGCACGTAAATAGGACCCTCGTTCACGAAGTACACGCCCATTTATTCCCTACAAGGGCAGCATCTCCGAGGCTACCTTATTAATAATGAAGCATGAATAGCCCATCCTATACTATCCTGTACATCCCAATCGCCGACTGAACCAAGCCCCAATCGCCCCATCAACCGCTGATATACGGCGTTTTCGGTTCATGAAACAGCTGGGGCAAGGGCAGATTTATCAATCTATACAGCTCGAGTTCCCCATCCGTTCCACGAATCGATTTATCTGAGCACCAGTCTTGAATTCATTTTGTTTCTGACTAAATCATATCAATATATACGGCTCGAGTGCCCCAGCCGTTCCACGAATCGATTCTTACGTGCAAAATTTATTACGTTTTATTCGGCGTTCTACGTTCGTGAACCAGCTGGGGCAAGGGTAGATTCATCAATCTATACGGCTCGAGTGCCACAGCCGGTCCACGAATCGATTTATCTGAGCACTAGTCTTGAATTCATTTTGTTTCTGACTAAATCAGATCAAAATATACAGTTTGAGTGCCCTAGCCGTTCCACTAATCGATTCTTACGTGCAAAATTTATTACGTTTTATTCGGCGTTCTACGTTCGTAAACCAACTGGGGCAAGGGCAGATTCATCAATCTATACGGCTCGAGTGCCACAGCCAGTCCACGAATCGATTTATCTGAGCACTAGCCTTGAATTCATTTTGTTTCTGACTAAATTAGATCCCTAATTTTAATCGGCCGCTAAGTCTGCCGTCTCACGTATGCTTGACATTTTGTTCTAACTGCTGACTCTCCTAACTATACGCTCATATAACAGACAATGCGAAAAATAACTTGAGAGCATATAAAATTTTCATTCATAAACTAGGTGCTGGCAGTGGACATTTTACATATGAAAATCCAAAAAATGTACATTGAATATACTTCATAAAACTAGAATGTCTCCTAAATCAATCCTCGGGATCAGATTCAAGTGGCTCAACGTCCACTTGCTCGTATGGAATTGGCACGGCCAATTTAGCTCCAACGGCAGCAAGGACTTTGAGCCACCCATGTTTGAATCCCCGATTTTCGAATTTGGGTATTTCGTCTACGTATTCCTTGAAGGTGGCGCTCTTCCCAGCCTCAAGCGCCGTAGAAACTTCGGATTCGGCTTTTTCCTTGGCCGCCTTCAACTCCTTTAACTCAGCCTCTGCCTTGGCAAGCACCTCCTTGGCTAACTCGAGCGATTCCTCGCTTGCGTTCGCCCTATCCTCAGTTTCGGATCTGAGCTGGTCAGTAGTCTGAGCCCTTTCCATTTCCGTTTCGGCTCGCACATTTTCCATTGCGGCTCTCATCGCCTTGAACTCGGCCCTGCTCCTTTCACCTTCAGCTTCAGACTTTAAGCGGCCAATTCTTTCGACGACATCATGCTGCTGGCGGCCTAGTTCGGCTATCCTTCCAGCCGTCTGCAAAACAAATCGGGATCATCACATCAAGCAATATAGTGTGCAAACCAAATCAAACGAGCAGAAAAGAGAATATCGTATACATACCAGAAGGGCAGACTGGGTAGCGAATGCTATAAGCTCAAAATCTGGCTCTTCTTGAAAGGTGGCCTTATCAGTCGGCAGTGAAACCGAGGCGGCCAAGCTCAACGTTACAGCCGGATCCTTTATGACGGATGCGTCATTAGAGATTGGCATGTTTTTGATCTTTGGTTTAACAACAAAAGGAACCACGTCAAATTCCTCTAAACGAGGCCTTTTGCCAACAAGACTATCCTCTGAGCCTGCGTCTCCCTCGGTATTACGTTTTTCGCCTGTTCTTTACGAACCAGTCGTTCTTCCGTGACCTGCTATTCGGCCTCCCTCTCTATCTCATCCAAAACGATTTGAGCCGTTTCTTCTGCAGTAACGGGTTGTAAAGATTCAACTG